GGATGCTAAGCTGGCAATCTCAGAGAGCCTCCATAGCTGCTGTTATCTCTCCGCCATGTTCTCCTGGAAGTCCGTTTTTTATTTTCTTTAAAGTTTGAAATTCATTAGCTATAGTTGATTTCTTGTGAAGAAATTCTATAATTTCTAATTCTATAATCTCCATTCTATAATTGAGATGTTATCCTTATTCATGTTGTATCTAATTAAGTATTTTTTATTTATTTTTTTGTATTGGGAATTGAACTCAGGACTGAGGACCTCATGATTGCCAGGCAGGTGCTGCAAAGAGATTTGTTTTTAAATGTCTTATTTCTTGTTTGGTCATGCCTACACATCAGATTTATCTCATTTTATATTCATAGTAAGGAAAGCGAGGAAACTAAGTCAACTGATCCATAAAAAGTAAAAAGTTAGTTATGATATTTTATATAATATTTAATGAGTGTTCTAAGCAGTTTCTATACATGGCCAATCACTATACTCAGTATTTTTCTGTAGAACTATTCTTTTTAAAAAGTTTTAAAAAGTTGTTTTTATTAGTACATTTATAGTACAACACAGTGATTACATTCATTGTGGGGAATCGGTGCATGTACGTGACGTACTGTAAGTCTTTTTTCATCCCTTTTCCCATCTCTGTGTCCCGTTTCTCCATCTCTTTCCAGTTTCTCCCTTTAGCAGACAATCTATTTCCTATTTGCTGTCTTGATTTGCTGTTTATTTATACTTTCAGTTTCTCAGATTTATTTCAGTGAACATTATGATCTCAAGGTAATCCATTAGATCTATCCTTAAGCTATTTCTGGTGCTTTATTAGCTTATTACCTATATTAGCATCTTTCAAAATAAAAAGTTATGTGACCTTTAAAAAATGTCTTTTGAATTTTCAGAGTATTAATGTGTTACTTAAATTATTATTTATAAAAAGAATATTTTAAATTATGGACAAGATTAAGAATAAAGTATTTTTCTCTTATGACCATTAAGTATAAAATTGTAGCTAACACAATTAAGGGGATCAGGGATATAGATCAGTGGTACAATACTTGCCTTTTAAGTATGAGGTTGTGAGTTTGATCTCCGGTACCCAAAAATAAAAAACAAAAAAACCAAAAAACTACAATTAAGTCAGTTATTTATTTATTTATTTATTTTTGGTCTTTTTGAGACAGGGTCTCCCTATGCATTTCAGGCTGGCCTTGAGCTTGCTTTGTAGCCTAGGCTGGGCTCAAACTTGCAATGGTCCTCCTGCCTCAGACTCCCGAGTGCTGGGATTACAGGCATGAACCACCATGCCTGGCTCTAAGTCAGTTCTTTTAGTGCTAGGTAAAAGCTTGTTTTGTTAATCTTGGATTAGGTAGCACACAGTTTTGTGCTCTGCACTAGGAATCATAAAAATCCTGGCCTATCCCCTTGACACAGCTATGACAGATGATGATTCATGAGGGTGTTGCCAGCATCCATGTAATAGTATTCATTATGATGATTTGATGGAGTTTGTTTACTTTTTTTTTCTTTCCTTTTGTGGACTTGAATGTGCTAGTTAAGCTTTCTAGCACTAAGTGCAGTCTGTTACTGAGTCTAACCCCTTTTATTACAGTAAAGATTTGTTTAGCATTTATTTAGATAGTACCCTGCAACAGCAAAGATCTTACTTCTTTTGTCTTGTGAGCCAAGGCCTGTTTATTGTTCTCTGCATCTCGTATGCAAATATTACAGTTGTGAAGAATCATAATAATTTCTTTCACCTTTCTGATAGGATCCTTGTTGCCTGTGTTTTTATTGTTCTCTAAAGGGAGTGGACCATTCTCTGGTAGCTCTCTGAGAAAGACTATATGGAAGGAAATATACATCTAAATAAAATGTTTATTTGAAATGTCTCATTGTATTTTGACTTGATCGATAGTTTGGCTGGGTATAGAACATTAGCTTGAAATGATTTTCTTTTGGAATATTAGAGGCATTACTCCTTAAAATTCAGGCACGGTTTTTCTTCCATTATTTGTGCCGAGAAACTTCAAGCTATTATTATTTTACTTCTCTCCCTCAGTGGAAGCTTGTAGAATCGAATAGTCTCCCGTTTTCTAAATTTTCATTTTTGCATTTCTTGATCTGAACCTGTTTATTACTGTTCGCATCTGACAATTCATACCCATACATTGTAGGAACATTTCTTTTTCCCTCCTTCCCTTCCAGTCTTCCTTTTATTTTCTTATTTTGTGTACAGTGCTGGGATCAATGAACTGAGGGCCCTGTATATGCTAAATGGGTGCTCTATTACTTAGCTACATCCTGAGCTCTGGAAATTTTTCTGAAGTGATTCATTGATGATGTCTTTTTTCTCCATTTTGTCATCCTAATTTTCTTTTGCTTTGAATCTTGTCCTTTTGGTCGTGTAGATTTCTTCAACTTTATCATCTTTGTATTGTTTTTTCTTTCCTTATCATGTTCTGTCAGATTTTGTTTTTCATTACTTGCCTATATAGTATTCTAGGACCCAAGTAGTTGTAGTAGTAGGGTCAAAGTTATAGTATTTTTTGCTAATTTTTTTCTTTTTTTGCACTATTTGTTGTTTTATGTGTATTTTTGGTGATAGTGATTTTGATGTCTGCATTCCATGTTAGAAACTTTGCTCAATTGCTCTTTTTTTCCTTTGCTGAATTCATGATGTGATATCGAAGATTAAAAAGTTGATTGGAATATATAAATGCAGTAGTTTTGAGCTTTTGTATAGGATACTCTGGGGGAGTAATTTTTGGGAAATTCCTCTCAAGACCTTAGGTCTTGCATCTTATGCTGCTCAACTACCTCCAAAAAATGGTCTTCCATTGTTATGGTTGATACATTGTATCAGTTTAGAAGTTTGACTGAGAGACTCAGCAGGGAGCTAGGATCCTTACTTTGTAAATATCCTCATGCTGTGCAAGAAGAGGGCACAGAGAGTTTGTGAGTGCCACAAGGGCTGCCAGGGAGGCAGAACATGGGCCTGTGTACAAAATATAAGGGAGGAAAACAGGCTTGTTCCCCCTTTTGCTTTGGCTGCTGCCTTGAAGTGTTGCCCCAGTGTCACACCAGTGCCTAGGAGCCAGTTGATTATAGACTGAAGCCCCCACAAACAGCTAAATAAATCTTCCCTTCCTTCATTTTGGGTGTTGGGTGGTTTTGTCCCAGTAATGAAAGAAAAGTAATCGAGGCAGAATTAATCAAGTCACCCATTTTCTTGTACATGGAGAACAAAAAGTCCAATTGGCAGTATTGTGGGGGAAGTTTTTGGAAGAAGATTAGAGATCTCTTCAGTCACTTATCTGTGTTTTGGTATGGCACTTTTTTTTTTTTTTTTTTTTTTTTTTTGTCTTTTTCATTTTTATCAGTACCAGGGATCGAACTCACGACCGCCTGCTTGCAAGGCAGGTGCTTATGCCGCTGAGCTAAATCCCCAGCCCCGGCACTTTTTTTTTTAAACTGAGGTTTGAACCAGGACTCATTAAGTGCTCTACTATTGAACTATGGCTCTGGTCCTGGTAATTTTTTTTTTTTTTTTTTTTTTTTTTTTTGTGCCAGGGATCAAACTCCTGACTTCACACTTGACAGACAAGTGCTTGTGCAACCCCGGCTGACCTTGCTACTTTTTGTTTGTTTGTTTGTTTTTTGAGACAGAGTCTTGCTATGTTGTTCAGACCGGCCCTGAACTCACTATGTTGCCTAGGTAGGGTCTTGTCTTGAATGCTACAGCAGTCCTCCTGCTTCAGCCTCCTGAGTGCTGGGATTACAGGCAAGTGTTGCGATAATAGGCATGTGCCACCACTTCCAGCCAGTACTTCCATTTTTAATTGCAGATCTTGCCTTTTTGTAGACTTGGGGAGAGCAGGTATTCAATAGAATGTTCACCTATATCCTATAGTATTGATATCAGAGATTAAGTGTTGTACATATAATAGCTCTTGTAATGCCTTATAAAAACACTCTTAAAAACTGGAAAGTGTTCTAAAAGGGTATTTTTTACAACATTTGATTTTTTAGTGCAGAAACTTCTAGCCAACACTAAAAACTTAGTTGACTTCTTTCTGGAAGAGAAATACATCAAGAGAAAAATAAAGGTTCTTAAGGATATGGACACTTGAGGTTTTTGTGGTAGAAATAAAAACAGTGGTTGTAAAGTGCAGTTAACCATGTATTGAGCAAATAATAGTTTGAAGCTGTGGAAGAGAATGATAAATGAATTGTGAATTTTTCCTTATGAAAGATTACTAATATAAAGTGATAAGTAATAAAATGTGGTAAGTGCAGTAATGATATGATAAAAGAGCTTGTGAGAATAATTATCCCTGTGGTGTGGGCTAGCCATAGTAGGGAGGAAGAAGAGTAAGGAGAGGTTGTGAAGTGATAAAGTAGTTTAGGTGAACTCATGAATAGAATTTATTACGTGAACTATGATAGTTTCTTTGGGACAGGAGTAAAAGGTGTTGGCATTCAGTAGTGTACCAGTTGTCTAAATAATAACTTACCATTTTGCTTTCTCAACTAGTTCCTTCAGACAAGGAAATAAAGATGGTATGAGGTGAGGATAAAACTCTGTGGGCTGGGTCAGAATGTAGACTGGATTTATGTTTCAGATTTCATCAGTTTTGTGAAGTTATTCTCTGAGCCTGTTTGTACTATCGGAAACAAAAAAAGCCTTGCTGTTGGGGCTAGTGTGTAAATTAATTGAGATAGTCTATCGTTGTAGGCTTATCTTCCTCACCAGGTAGCTCTAAATATTTATATACCCCCTCCACTATAAACTTGTACTACAGTGCTGTAGTAATTTTTATTTGTCCTTGTCTTTCCCAGTTTACCAGTATTTTGTTTTTAATGGATATATTTTCCTTGAGCTACTCTCAGGGTTTCAGTTAGTTTTTGAAGAATTACAAAATTTTCAATTACGTTTTTGAACAACAGTTTGAATCAAGTGTAACATTTTATTTGCTAACATAACAAACACAATTTTGATATATTATTTAGTTTGTCTCATGGAAAATGAATGATGCTTTTTAATGCTTAGAAATTTAAAAGTATTTATTACAGAAAAATTCAAACATATACAGAAGTAGAATAAAATAATGAATTCGTTATGCTCATCCCTCAGTTTTAAAATTTATCATTTCCTGAGGTCACACTCCATTTAATTACTATATTCTTACCAACATCATCACAACACCCTGCACAAGTTTTAATAATTACATGTAGTGATGGATAGAAATAACAAAGAACTGCTAAATTTTAAGAAGGTAGATCACAGAAGAAGAGAAAAAACATGGACTTCAAAGCTGTTGAGAATTTTCAACCAAATTCTTAACTATGGATTTGCCTTTTTCTTGGTGGCAGTTTGCTGCTATCAAGAGGATACTCAAACTTTTCCTGTCAATATGTGGACTTTCAGACTGGGTTTTAAAAATCTTTTTATCCTTTGTATTTTTTCTTCCTAGAGTATCTACGTTCCTTTCTTTGATTTTCACTAGCAGTCAGATGTTGCAAGGGAGGTGTCTTTGGCAGGGCATGAAGTGTCATTTGCTGTGGGACCACTGACATACCTGGGAATTTATTTATGACCATCTGTACTATGCCAGAAGAAATTTTTATATTTAAGATAAATTACTCAAAGTAATTGTTGTCATCTTGGTTCTAGAGATATTGTCAAGATTCAAAAGTTTGATTGTAAGCTTTAACCTTTCTCCTAGAATTGAGCATCTTTAAAGGGTTAGATTGACTGTATAGGGAAAATTTACTTATTGTGGTATGAGTTAAAATTAATTTCATCAAATTATTAGGATTTAAGCAACTTAAGTTTCTACAAATTATGAAGTCAAAGTTGTCTTCATGATAAAAATAGTGTAAAAGGTTAAAAAAAAGGCCTTGAGCAGGGGTTGGCTTTTTTTTCTTTCTGGACTGAAATGGAGGCTTGCTTTCAGGCGAATTCCCTGATGTTTGCTCTGTGTGATTTGGCTCTATCTGTGTTACTGCTAATATGTGGCATGGACTCAAATTGGGATCTGGATGTGCTCAAAGTCTGTATTGCAAGTCCGGATTCACAGGCATTATGTTACAAAACTGGCTTGCTGCCTTGTGTGTTCTTTTATTATGTCTTGAGTAGCTGCATTGTCTGTTGCAGTATATGCATTAGCTGTTGTCTGTGTTCAGTTTCCTGCAGAATGACAAAGTGGGAGGGGCTTTGTTTGATACATAGCTGAGTTTTCACTGTGTGAGTTCTTGAGTGCACACTGCAGCCATCTTAATTACACTTTTGTGCAACTGAGACTGTGCAGCTGTCTCAAAATGGCTGCTAGCCTAGTCTTTGTAGCTGCTTAGGCAGCAAGTATGCCAGTGAGACTTGTCAAATGCATCAGGACCAGAGGTAAGAATCAATTACTTTTTATCTTTTAATATTTCTATTAAAATATTTGAATATAACTGGTTTTATATAGGAAGGCAAACTTAGAGCTTGCTTGCTAAAATAGTTGAAATGTTTGCTAGAACCTGCTATCCTATATTATGGAAACATTACACAGGATGGTAAGGTCAAAGGTTAAATTCCTGTACTTTCTCACCATTTTATGTTGTCTTTCCCAGAACATTTGATCACCCTGATAATGCTTTCCTACCCTAATTAACTTAGTGTTCCTTTTGTGTTGAGTACTTTTTTGATATTTATTTATAGAAATTAAAACAATAAATTACCTGAACAGATTTTTTAAAAAGCCATAAATAAGCCATGTTTTATGTAAAAAGTGTGATCTCTCTCATGTTTTATGAGGTAGTTTATGGCTTTCTGGAAAGAATGGTAATACTTTGTGTAACTTCTAGAAAAATTTTAATATTATCTTTTTTTTCCGATTATTTGGGTTCCAGTTTTATCTCATCAGTATCCCACTGTCACATTTTTGATGGTACTTCATTTTTTTCTTCAAATTATTTTTACTTAAATTGGCATTCAGATCCAGATTTTGAGTTTAGAAATAATTTCTTATCTAGGCCTGGATATATGCCTTTAAAAAAAAAACCCAGTGTATTCTGATACCAATAAAGCTTGAGTAAATACTCAATTTTATTTACGTAAGTGGTATTAAATATTATATAAATTTAAAAGTAACATAAGTAAATGATTTTGTAAATTTAGCTTCTTAAACTTTCAAAAACTTCTATTAGCTTTGTGAAGTAGAAGTATTTATTGAGATACTGTAAGTCCATGGTTATCCAGAAGGCTGGGAGAATGAGGTTCTTATTCACAAAGTATTTCAAAAAGCAGAACAATGTTTTGCTTTAAGTATTTAAACTGCACTACTTGTTACATGTTTTTCTAAATGGTGTGATATACTCCTCTGGCATTGTTAGTAGGTAAAGTATTATGAATATATTCCTGACCAATATGACATAGAACAGTAAGTTTTGAACATTGTAAATAGAGTGACTTTCTAGACACAGCAACATTTTGTGTTAAATTCTTAAGGAGGACCTCCAAAAAGGATATTTAGTGTTGTACTATTATCTACTTATTTTATAGTATAAATTTATAGCATTTATTTTTCATAAGTATATTTAATAAAATGAAAACATGTAGGTTGCTACAATGAAAACCTTAAAATGAGATCATATGTTAATGTATAGATTTACTTCACTTAAAAAAATTCACTTTGTTTACTTATGTAACTACAGCTTTTAAGGCACTGTAGAATTTAGTTTGAAAATTATTCTGTAATGTATCTTCATGTTCCTTTTTTATTTTGATGAATGAATATAGACTATAAGATCTATATTTAGAAGATTTAATAGTTTGAAATTGCTTTGTTACAAACTTGTGTTTTTGCTTGTTCTTAGGTTTTTAAAAATAAAATATTTTTTCTTAAAGAACATAGAGAATCTCATAACTTGAATATTTATGTAAATCATCTGAAAGTATATTAAATTCTGAAAGAGGAAAAAAAAACAACACTTCAGTGTGGGGAATTCTCATCATTCATTAAAGTGGAATCTTGTTTTGCAGTATGACATAAGAGTGAATGTGCTATGGCCTAATCACTTTCTTTTTTATGCTCTTAGGGTAAATAGCTCACTTTCTTAAAGGCAGGGGTGGGAGGAGAAGAGTTGTATTTAAAATATGCGCATTTTAAAACATATATATGAGCCCTTGGTTTTGTTTGAAATTCTTTAATGTTGAAAATAACTGACTAAAATTATTGAGTAATTTACATTGATTTTCAGATTAGGAAATTTTGTGATATAATTGTTTTGTCTTTGGTCACTAACTATAAAATTTATGTTCACTGTTCATTAGATTATTACTTGTACATGGGAAAAATATACAGTCTGTTGTTTCTTAAGATATTAATTCCTTCATTTCTGTGTTGCATTTTTGCAACTGTAAACATAAACTAGATTTGACTAGACTTACTATTTTGGAGTTAGAGACAGTTTTCAAATTTTATCTGCCAGTTACAAGTTAGTTTATTATTCTGGGCAATTGTGGGCATTTCTGGGAGTTGGAAAAAAGTAGGCCCTGAATTCAAATCAGTGTCTTATATTGTCATTTCAGTTTTTGTCCTCATTTACTTACCCTTTTTGTAAGCTGTTTTTATTAGCATGAACATTAAGGGAAATGTTGGGATGATGGAAGTGGATTTACTGAGGGTCCAAACCTGAATTTGCATGTTGTTTTGTCTAGCTTTTTTGTGATAATGGTCAACTTATTCCATTTTCTGATTCTTGTTTCCTCATCTGTAAAATGGGGGAAAAATTCCTTTGTGGCAAGCATGTTGATAATTAGTTTACATAATGTTTTTTGATAGTACTGTGAAATATTCTGCAAATGTAGGTCATTCTAATTTTTCCAGCAATATTTGAACGTTTTTCATTTTATTGCTTCCAGTTGTCATATACTTTGTTATGTATGGCTAAATCAATAGAATAAGTATGGTAATTCCTCGTAATTCATGCTCAGAAGCATGACATTCTAAGTATGACTACTTCATAATTTTATATATTGGTGTTATTGGTAGTGGATGCTAATCAATTTCAGTGTCACATCATAGATGATCCCATGTATTTATTAAGTAAAGTCAATACAGAATGTTGGCATTAATAGAATTAGAGGTGTAGGAGAAATGTTTCAGTTCTAATCTTGCTGAGTCCTCCAGATATACCATAATAAAGTAACTTCTTAAAAATTGTGAAGTTTTCATTCACAAACTGGTAACCATAAGACATATTTTTATCTTTCATCCATTGTCCTGTTTCACTAACTGTTTACATTTAAAGTTACCAGATTTCATGCAAAAATCGAGCTATTTCACCTTTCGAAAAATGGAAAATTGAGCAGTGCAAGGCATACATTCTCCTTGAGAACAGTGTAGTTTGCATTGAACAATGCATGCTGTCCCTTTCAGACAGGTTTTACTCTTGCTTCACACATTTGGGCCTCTTCACTGATCTACTTTACTTGCTTAGTTTCTCACAGCAGTTCATTTTAAAAATCCCCATCCTACTTACTGAAGTGTCAGCAGCTTTCAGTGTGTAAAATACAGCTTCTAATTCAAAAGAAAATAAAGTAAAATCTAGCCTACTTTACTTGGTAGGAGAGACTTAGCATATGTAAAGTCAGTTTATTCTTGGAAAGAGTGGTACCTCTGGTAATCCTTAACTTTGTCTTAATTTTTATGTAGGGGCTGATTAACTTCAGGCAAAAGAATAAATTCAAAGAGAAAAAATCTTTGTGTTTTTTAGAAACATAAATATCTTGAGGCCTGTTAATATGATAATCATTTTCTTGTGAAAATATTGCCACTTCGTTAAAGACCGTAGTGCTTAAGAACTAGATATTTTAAATGATGAAATGAAATTGTATTCCAGATATTTAGTTTATAGAACAGATAAATGAAATAACATTTTATAAAAAGATTTTTGCTCAAATTATAATTGAGTCCATTTTAGTATTTAAAATAATAAGGACACTTCCTAAAGAATTTTTTAACTGCAAATAATTTCAAAAGAAAATTTTCTTAACTAGGTAACATAAGGGGCCATTATAAACTTATATTTTTGGGAAATCACATCTATTTAAATTTATTAATTTAACTGTAGCAATTACATGAAGACTACTTTGATATATGAAACATGGTAGTTTATAATCTTGGTCTAACCCAACTTTGAATTCTGCCTTTTCCAGTACAAAAGCTAGTGTGTGTGTATATGTGTGTTTGTGTGCCTGTGTTGTGAGGGTGTGGTGTAATGGGTGATAGAACTGTGGACTTCACACTGAGCTATATCCCAAGCCCCCAGCTCCTACCTCCTTTTTAAAAAAAATTTGAGGTTTTTTCAGTAAAATGGCTAAGTTAGCCAGTCTGGGTTCAAACTCACTGTCTTCCTTACACCTATGTCACCCAGAATGCTAGGATTATGAAAAACCCGCTTCTTAACATATAATACATATAATACCATAAGGTTGGTCACTCCACAGAAGTCCTAAAAGAATTCATTTTTGGAAAATAGCTTTCAAATAAAACTTCAATGAACTTCTGAAAAAGTGGTTAACTTGGACAGAAAACATGGATTCCCTTGATTTTCCTCTTCATAATTCCATAAGAGAGAATTGGGAGAAAGAATAACATTTATTGAAGTAAGCAGTTGTTTGAAAAAGATTATTCCGGTAATCATTATCACAAGTTTTTCATTGTTGGAGATTTGTAACTTTCTGTTACAGGTCATTAGCTTGTAAATATGGAAATAGCCCACACAGCCTTGATTGGTGAATGAATATATGGCTGTAATGAAAGAGGGAGGTTAACATTAGGGAGCCGCCTAAGGCTTTTGCATCTTCCTGCGGGTGTTTATCTTTTCTGAAGACAGATTCAGCTATCATTAAAAGTATCTTAGTGGTGCTTTCTTTGCTGGAAATAAAGGTACCATAAGAGTACATAGTGGAAAGCATTAGTATAGAAGTCACAAAAGATTATTTCTGCTCTGTTACTGCTGTTAATTGTATAGTTTTGGATAAATTAGGAAACTTCTTTTTTCTATTACTTGACCATTAAATGAAAGGTGGTTGGACTAGATAGTCAGAAAAACAATACTAGCTTTGCATTTAGACAGGGTTAATCTTAGTCTTCCATTCACTAGAGGTTTTACAAGAAATGTTTATGAGTACAGTATCCTGTCTATATAGTAAGTCAATAAGTCCAGTATTATTTTTATGGAATGAGGCAACTTACTTATTTTCAGAACTTCAGATTTTCTTATTTTTAAAATGGGGATGGATAATGTCTGCCTCATGGTGTTGGTATTCCAATTTAAATGATGATACGGTACACAGCACCTAGTGCAGTATACAGCAGAAGATCAGGGTGAGGTAAGTATTAATTGCTT